AATCTTAGCCGTGCTCATAGTTTCCATTCAATTTGATCCAATGTTTATTATGTAATTCAGGAAATGTATAATTATAGTTAAATGTCAAAAGAGTGTGGGTGCTACATTGTTCTATAATTCTGTAGCCCTGAGTCTGAATCACTTTCTAATTATTGTATAAATTGTATAATGTTCTCAAATTGTCCATATTCCAAATGATGTTGCAAATCACTGCAAACTATGTGATGCACAGTGTACCTGGGGCTGGATATAGGCCATTCATTAGTCAATTGGGTATAAAGTCTATAAGGCAACAGCAAACTGAGAACAACATAACAACAGAGCCCAGCATGACGCAATTATATGTCTTTTTTTAATTCAGGGTCCAAAGGTATTCAGTTTCTAACAATGTGTTAACTACTGTATAGACTGTATGGTTTAAACCTGACAACACTTCTGGACAGAACAACAACATTGTAAAACGTCAAATTTAAAACATAAAATAACTATCATATGATTATTTAAAAGTAATCCAAATACAGCAATAGTGAACCAGTTGGTGTGAATATGTAGGATGTTTATGTTCGATCCCCCCATTCCACCTTATTGCATCTGTTAAATAAATATAATCACTTCCTGTTCTTAGTCTTAGCGACTGTATAGTTTGCTATGTGCATTGCACTTAAATGAAACTTAGAGACAGACATGCTGCGCACACACACAGCAGGAGGTGGAGGATAAATAGGGCCCCTAACAGGTAAATCCGGCCTAAACAACAAGTCAACCCCGAAGTACCCAACATAGCTGCACTATAAGTAAAGATGCGCACTCCTACGTAAATCCTTGACAGTCGCTAGTAAACAAAAAGCCTGAATGATCTCTGTCCAATAGGAAAGTTCAGCGTGGCTCCTCCATCCAATGAGCGCTTAGTTTGTACATCCGGGATTGTTTCATTGACAATAAACGCAACGTTAAAATGTCTTTATAATCAGTCTAGTTTGACCTGATGTAAACGGTGTTGGTTACCGTTACCTTGACACCCAGAACCCGTTGACGGTTGGTGAACTACCGGTCAGCTAACGCTACATGGAAATTAACGTTAGCCAAAAAGACGCAGTAAGCTAGCTAACTGCTGCTACAAAACAAGAAAGAACTACACCATTTAAAAAACATGTATTATAACCACAGGCAGCTAATGTCCCAGTCTTTAATACACAATAACACCCAGACCCGAATACACACATTTGTAGCTTTATCACATGAAAATGAATGCTATTTCCTCACCGGCTCCGTAGCTTCCTGCAGTCATGATCCGCTGGAGAGTGGGAGGGTCCTGTCAGGCTGTTTAGGTAACCACAGTTCTGCCTGTTCAAAAACTACTGAATTAATTTAACAAAACGTGACTTGAACACAAAATAGTAAATTTCACTGAGAGATAATTAAAAACTGAAATGGGAATCTGAAACTAATCTTGCAATTAACTTTACTACATAACCCCAGACTTTCAGACTGAAAAACGTAATTAAACATCATGTCTACATAATAAAAGAGAGAATAATGATACTTGCATAGAGCAGGTTTCTTATAATTGCACAATTTTCTTAATTGAGTTTATTTATTTAGAGTAGTTGGACTAAATTCGGAAAACAAAAGCAATTTCCCAAACTATAATATTCCTTCTGAAAAATGTGATATTTACTTTATCTAACTATGTGAGTTACAGGAAATACATAACCTATGACAAGAAATATCAAATGTATGCTTGGCAGTGGTCAGTGGTTATATGGAAGTGATGGAAGAAGTAGCAATGCAACAGTGTAAAAATAATGATAAGATTTAAGATAAACCTTTATTGATCCCCGGGGGAAAGATCTCTAGATATGGTCTGCTTGCATTAACCACTGAGCTATAATAAAGCAGCTTGAGCAGGCAGGATTGATGCAAAATGAGGTCAAACATGACCTTTGTGTTCGTCCCCTTTATACTGGCAAGGACACAAAGTCGCTCAAAACATGAAAGCCCACAAAGGGTTTTATAATTTGTATATAATTATATTTTTTTGTATTTTGTATTATTATATTTATATTTGTTTATTATTATACGATACGATATACGATACGATAAGATAATACTTTATTTGTCAGATCAAGTCTGAAATTTGACTTGCGTCACAGCAGCTCCATGTCCAACATCAACAGACAAGTATCCAGACACAATACATGAAACACAAACAACAAATATTTAACGTAACAGCACAATCAGTGAGAGAAAACATGCTCAAGAGCCTTCAGCGTGCATTTGATCTGGGATTTAGCTCTGTATTTACTGTGAGGATTGACTTGATGCACAAAGGAGTGCTTCAGTCTGACTATTGAATCGTGGGACCCTGTATCTCCGATTAGAAGATAGCAGTTCATATTCAGTGTTCAGAACATGGTTTGGGTCAGAGATGATGTTGTTGGACAGCCTCACTAGGTTGTTATGATAGGCTGAGTCATAGAGTCTCTGACAGGGTTGACCAACAATCTTTGAGCAGATTTTTAACAGGTGGAGC